AAAGCATCCTACTTCTAAATCGGGTAAGGGTTTTCTTATTATTTTTTAAAATGGGGCTGTGCCGACTCTTATTGGGTCGAAATAATAGTAATAATATATATATATATATGTAAAGAAGAGAAAAATAAATAAAAAAAAAATAAAATAGATAATAAAAAAAAAATAGGGGACCCGGGAGCCGTTCATAACGTAAATACGATACACGTCTTGTCATAAGAACTGACACAACAAAATCACTTTAAAACGCAATCCAATCAGATTCATGAATTCGGATACACCCTTTCACATGCCGTATAACCATGCACTTCGTTGCACTCCGTTCCTGGTTTAACAGTGAAAATATGTTAGGCTTCGGACTCACAATAGTTCCTGCATATTGATGTAACTCTTGATAAAATTTTGTAGTGCCCGATTCAATCGGGCATGCATTGATCTCATCGATTTGCAAACAGCGATAATTCATTTAGTATATTAAGTAAATGCAATTTTTCTCTCTATACACTATAAAATTATTCTTAACTAATTCTCAACCCCTTGTATTAACGTGATTGTTTAGTGTAACAAACCCAAAATTTTACTACATATCGCTAATGTTTTTTTTTTTTTTTTTTGAAAAATAGGCGACTTTTGGTAAACCAAATTTATTTTGAATTTCCTGATCATTTTACGTTAAGCTACGCGTACATACGTGCACTATCCCTATAGAGAACCTACCTAAAAAATTATCATTTGATTAACTAGTTAACTGTGATAATCGTTTAATTCAGCTGGCATTATGATAAATTTGACCCATGGTCAACATAATACTGATTTAGAGCTATGGAACAATTTTTATGCGGCTAAACACTTTACTCTTTATATATTTTTTCAAACCTAGAAATTTAGATATAAAGATACATTCTAATCTGGGAATGGTGGTGGTTAGCGCAGTCAAAATTAACGATTTTAACTTTTTTTTGCTTAAATAAAAAAAAATTCTGTATAAGGCCGCTTGCAGTTAAAATTTTGTTTAACGGTATTTTTTTTCGTATTCACGGGAGGGGGGATTAAACAAACATAAAAAATATACATATAGTATATCGAAAAATTCCGATCACCGTGACCATTATACCGAATATTTTGTCACCTCTATTTGTTTAATTTTAGGAGAATAAGGTTTAACTTCAAGCGGCCTAAATTTTAGCGAGCTTTCTGAACTGGTGATTAACACCAGTTGTGTGATTTCCTAAAGCCGTTTATAAATAAACAAACAAAAATAATAGTTAATTTTAATCCTGAATTTCTATAATATCAATCGATTTGCTGATGACTAATTTTGATAGTTGTTCTGCTATTTCTTGTGTGTTTATGTGTTTGCTTATATAGTTTTCATTTAATTTAGGTACACCAATAGAGTTTGGTATATACTTATCTGCTTCTTTAAATTGTTGTTTGATTTCATTATCATTTTCTGAATTTAATAATTTTAACCAATTTTCTATTTCTTTTACAACTTCAGATGCATTAGGTCGTACATCTGGATCAGAATTCATACATCGCTTTGCTAACTCACCATAGCATTTAGGTGTTTTGTAAGCAAATTTGGGACGTTCATTTTGAATAATTCTCAATGCAAGACCAATATTAAATAATACATCATTAAAAGCTCTTTTTCCGGAAGATATATCGGACATGATGACTCCGAGTCCATATATGTCTGCAGCTTGAGTAAATGGTTTTTCTTGCAAAACTTCAGGTGCTACATATGGTAATACACCGTAGATATTTTTATCATCTATAGAAGAATTTTTAAATGTTGCAAGCCCTAAATCTGCGATATATCCATCATATAAATCATCTTGTAAAATATTACCACTATGTAAATCTTTATGAATTAACCCTTTAGAATGAATTATTTCAAGATCTGAGGCGATACAACTCAATAAATTTAGTTTATTTTTCCATGAAAAGGGTCGAATAATTCTAACAAGATTTTTACTTAAAGAACCAAGATTCGCATATTTTAAAACAAGAATATACTGTTTGGTCTCATTATGTCTCGATATTCCATAGCATTGTAAAACTGATGGATTTCCATATCCGATTTCACAATAAGCTTTCAACTTTAAAAAACCAATATACGTAGATTAAAAATAAATAAATACTGTAATAATAAAAAACAAAAATAAATTTTAAATTAAATTACCTCAGATATGAATTCTAAAAGATGTGAATTTGAATTATGAATAAGTTTGAGTGCGACAGGAATTCTTAAATTTCGATTTGGAGGATACCATATTGCACGATAAACATCTGAAAATCCACCATGACCTACTTCTTGAATATTTTTAAATTTATCATATGGTATCCACGCTAATAAATATTTTTCATCATTCAATATTTTTTTTAAATTATCATCAATATCAAAATTGTCATATGACAATTTAAATATATCTAAAAGAATTTATTTAATATTATAAACGAATAAATAAATAAATAAAAATATTAATTTCAAATTACCCAAAAGTTTGCTTCTTTCACTATATCAAATATTATTAAATTATTAAAATTTCGATTAAAAATTAAACATAATTAGAAAATATTTTACATTTTAAACCAATAATTTGCTTTTTCTAAATTTCTTTCAACACCAGTTCCATTTCGATAACAATAACCAAGATTTAACATTCCGATAACATCATCCATTTCAGCGGCTTTCTGATAATATTCGAATGCTTTTTTATCATCTTTTTCTACTCCAACACCATTTCGATAACAAAAACCGATATTTATCATTGCATTTATATCACCCATTTCAACTGATTTTAAAAAACATTCAAATGCTTTTTTTTCTTCAACTTCTAAATCAAATTCATAATCCAAAAAGTCTGTTGTTCCAAAATATTGTTTATCTTTTAAACTAATTCCATTTTGATGACAATAACCAGTCATTTTCATACTGTTAGCATGCCCCATTTCTGCAGCTTTTTTAAAACATTCAAATGCTTTTTTTTCATCTATTTCAATTTCAATTCCATCTAGATAACGATTTCCAAGTTCAAACAACTCTTGCGCATTCATTTGTAAAAGAGATAGAGAGAGAGAGAAACGATATAGATATGATGTATCATCATTCTATACTAAAATATTGTCCAATTTCCATATTTGTAATAGGATAGATCACGCAATAATCAACGAATCAAATCTTTAAATTCACTGTCACTGTGGCACTAGCATGTACCCATATTGCGAAAATTTTTCCATGTACGTACGTTGCGAGCGTGGAAACTGATCCGGAATCGGGAAATATGTGTGATACGGATATCAATCGATACTAAAACTAATCTAAACACTACTCCAAAAATACTATCTAAACCCTAATATGGCAGGCTACGATCGAGGCGTGGAAGACTTGGTCCGAGTTATTAGGGCCAAATAGAACTCTAGTAGACTCTAATGTCACGGGTTTAGACTACTAACTTTATGCAGATTTGACTTGTCGGGACCGAAACTTTGAAGTCAAAATACTAGACTCTCTATGAGTCGAACTCTAATGAGTTTTTCCCAACTCTCACTGAGTTACCTCCCTTTATTGAAACAAAAAGATAGGCCTTAAATACTTTTAGACCAATGCTGCGTACATAGCGGTTGTGTTCTAATAATTTTTACTATCTTACTCTAATTCTCTAGTTTTCTACGATAAAAATTGTATCTAGAAGAGGATGCAGATTCGAATCGGCTTAGATAGATACAACTTGTATCTAGAGACAATTTGTATCTGGCGTTAGATACAAATTGTATCTCTTCTATGAGAATCTAATTTTAGCAGTGCCGATCTTTCCGTACCGTACTTAGGTTATACAGTACTAATATATAAATAACACTAATAACATATCCATAACAATAGAAAATAATATAAATAATATAAAAAAATGTAAATATGTGGCTCGTGACCACCGGGGAGCCGCTCACAACGTACGTTCGTATATAATTTTCTTGTTTGAAACCCAAGATTTTGGTTTCGGACCACGGCAATTTGAGATGTATAAATATAACGTCTAAGCTAATAGAGAAAGGAGGAAGGAGGAGTTCTGTGTGTTGCATAATAAATGAAGTAATAACGTATTTTAACCTCGCCTACCAGCTAAAATACATTTTTTAATAACCCACTATTATTAAATCCGAACATCCATCCCGCATAACTTATGCTTGTAACCTTAGGCAAGTCTCTCACTTGGTTAAAACATTTGTGCTCTTTTGAACACAAATACTCGTACGTACGTACGTTTTTTGGTGAATTCAGAAATAAAAGGAGAATTAACTTAGTCAACTAGATCTTGTACACAAGGCTACTCAGACTATCATAATACAGGCTTCGGCACTGGCATTTTTAATCACTCAATTCTGTTATGAGGATTTTATAAATATAATATATAATACTTGTACAGTACATTTTTCAGTTTTTATGATAAAGCAATCTGAATATATATATATATATTATGTATTTTTAAACGAAAAGAAGATAATTAATATGTAAATTATCTACAATTTGATCCATCGTGCAGTGAAATGTAAATTAATCAATTTAAAAGACTTCTCTTATTCTCAAGTCCCTCACTCTATAATTATTAATAAAATGATCTGATTGGTTAAAAAATAATTATTTTGGTCAAAAAACATAAACTTAACAAACATCTTTTTTTTTTTATTAGAATTTTTTTTTTAAATTGGCTGATATTTAAAATACACATTTCGCATAACAAAAATTCATGAGAATCATTTTAATTATATTGATTATGATAGATCACTATCAAATTACGTTGAGGATCCTGTCTTAGAATAGCCTTAATCATGTCATTAATTGAGAAGTTGTATATCACAGAAATTTCTTTGTTTAAAAAAAAAAAAGAAAAAACTTGCTACGCAAAATTAAGCAGATTAAGCAGCATTAATAACTTTAGCTTATATAAGCATTAAAATCAAACATAATTAGATTTTTTTTTTAATCCTAAACAAAATTGTTATGTGCAGTCATATGATCGTTGTTCAGAAGTGAGTGGTATCCAACCCTGTTCGACACCAAGCATGAAATTCCAATGAGCCGAAATTTCAGTTTTAAAATTCCAAAAGGTCCAACCAATCCTTTTTTAATAAATCAAAAAATTGGTAAACAAATAAATAAGAATAAAAATATAAATACAGCATATAAGTAAATATTTTACCCGGCTTCATAAGCGTCCATTTGTGCTGATGCATATTGTTTCAAATAGTTTTTATATTCGGGAGTCCAATTAAAATAATCGTTTTCAGATTGACACGTACCATTAGAATAATTACATACTGAGCTAGTACCAACACCATTTAACCATTTCGTACAATCAGTTGTAGCAAGACTCCTATTCATATTCATGTGACAAAATGATTTTAAAAATTAACAAATAATTAAGCAAATATAATGATAAAAAAAATAAAAATAAAAAATTGATCACCATTCACCCACGAATATCCGAAGAGTTTTACTGGTAGAAGCAATATTATATTTATTTGAACAAACGGTGGAAAATTGATTATTGTTGCTCAATGACGCAAAGTCGCACGTGAATGAATTATAGATATGAGAATCCAATGCAACACGTGTGAAATTTGAAGATTCTAGAAAGTCTATCGAATCATCAGCTGATAAGAAAGAAGAGTCATATAAGATCAATATATCACTGTTCAATTCACGAATTACATAATAGGCATCTTTAAAATATTCATTAAATTCATTTTTTACAACAGCGCTATAATAAATATATATGTATGATATATATAATTCGAAAGCATTATTAAATTACTAAAACTTTAAGTTTGAATTCACAAACAAATTAAAGACATACGCGGGCTCATTAAGCACACCAATGGAGACAACGGTATTTCTAAACTCAGGCTGACTAAAAGTCATCGTTATGTTTTTGATGACATTAAGCGTGCGTTGTATATTATCACCAGTTTGCCATTCAATAGGGCCCCTTCTACCACTATGATCGTAGCCATTCTAACGGATAGCGATTAGAATACTATATTGAATAACAATAAACTATTATGAGGATTAATTACCTGAGAACCCGGAGCACCATGTAAATCGACAGTAACTTTCAACCCATATTTCTTTGCCCATCTAATAGCTTTCAATAAATATTGAAAAGCGCCCATAACGAATGGTTCAGATGGTTTCTTTTCGAAGGCCCAATAACCAACAGGTATTCTATATAAAACTATCAGAATGAGAAAGTTTCTAAAAAGTTTATATGCATTTTATTACATGTGGAAATTCATACCTAATATGATTTAATCCGTATGAAGCAAGTTTTTTTATATCATGTTCAGTTACCCAAGATGACCAATGATCATTAAGCTGTTTCTTGGCTTCTTCATAGCCCAAAAATTTAGTAAATGTATACTCATCAACGACTTGATCTTTGGGACTAAATTGCTCAAAAAGGCTTGGTTTAATCCCTAATTAAATATTATAAATATTATAAATAAATTCAAATATATTAATATATGATTTTTTATAAATTTATTCTAATTATTAATTAGTGATAGGAAATTGTAGGTATTCATCATTACTCAATTTACAATGTTTATTTGATTAAAACGTGATGAGAATGATTTTTTTGAGTAATTCAATTTAATTATCGCTCTTTTAGATTTAGTTGGATCGATGAATTTTGCAGATTTTTTTTTTCGTCCGTGAATTCCATTCCATGAATCCGAAATCTGCGATTTTCATACATGCATATATCCTGCATATAATTGATTTTTAGCTGTCTATTATGTTATGATAATAAACAACTAACAATTACAAATAATTGTTTTATGCAGGCATACGCATGTACGAGATTCACGAATTTAAAGCAAAATTCATCGATCCAACTAAATCGAAAAGAGAGATAATGCATTGTTAAATGTTCATACTTTAAAATTTATACCAATTATATCAGTTTGATAAAGAATTTCAATACTTTGGAATAATTTAATTACGCAACGATAAAAGATTAAAGCTAATAATATTTTTATTAATACTCACATGATTCTAATAACAGCCTTATATGGAGAGATGAAATAAAAATATGTTTTTAATCAAGGAATTCAGGTCGTTATTTAAAATTAAAAATAAATTACCATCCTCCAAGATTCACCCCACATATTTTTTCTTTTTTATAAACATGCTGATTGATGTTACAAAAAACCAAACTACAATAAATTAATAAATATATGATCGAAAGCAAAAAAAATTTCATTTTTTTTTTAAAAAAAAAATAAAAAGGATATTAATTGCAATGAATCAAAAAGGTTTTAATCGCAAAAATTGTTTTTTTAATTGAAAAAGTTCTCACAATAAGCCTTAAATAGGTTTAAATAACTTTAAATGCATGCTTATGTACGTACGTACAGTACATAGATATGTACATAGAAGGGAAGAGATAGGAACAATGAAGAATACAAATTTGGATTAAAAATACGTGATTTTTTTCTTCTGTATTAAAAACTACTTTTGATTGATTCTATTTTAAAAATTACTTTCCGCTGCATGACTTAAATAAAATCAATTATTGAGTTACATTAGTGAATTGCGTCTAAAAAATCTTCACTCGGGTCACACGTCGGGTGGATAATGTGTCACCCGGTGGATTAAAAAAAGTGGCCACCCGGGTCACCTAAAATGAAATGTCACACGATAGGTCACCCAGGTTAATTAAAAAAACAAGTGGTTAATGTTCCGAAAATAATACGTTGTTCACTTTATCAATTTATTGAATCATTATGCCGAAATCACAAACGTAATCGAATTGACAATCTTTATCAGGTGTTCCAGAAATTATGATAATAGCCTCGAGCAAAAAATATGGATATGATAACAATTCCGACTGATTTATGTCACTTATCTAGCCGGAAAGTATAAAATAATTTGTTAATCAAAAGTATTCAAAAACAATGCATGCATTTCTTATTATTTTTATTAGTTTATTTCCCATACTGATTTGGTCGATAAACAATCTTTTATTCAAGTCAATTCAGTCAATATTATTTATTAATAGTTTCTTATTCGTGCTGATTTATGATTCTTATAACTTGACTTTCTGAAAATTTATGTACAAAATATTGATTATAAATTTTAGTATTATCTGAACTCAAAGTTGCATGGTTGCCCTACTTACATTCATACTGTATATTATAATATATTTAGTAAACACGATCAAACCCTCTTAAGAATGCGTAGCTATAATCAGGAATGATCTGAGAGTAAATAAAACCAATAATGTATTTTTAGTATGTACGTACATAATTTCAAATAATCGTCGAACTTAAAAAATCTTGAAATACAACCCGAATACAATAAAAAATTTTGGGCATGATCAGAACGATCTTCCACGCTCGCAATTCATATAGCGCACATCGGATAATATAAAATTTTGGACGAAAATCCTTTCCGTTTAGTCTAAAAGGAAATGTGGATCACGAATAAGATCACAACCAATTAAAAAATATTTATTTAAATTTAGAATCGGAATAAGAAAAGCTTATTAATCTTAGATATTTTCTCTCAAAGTTTAGAAAAAACCTATCAAAGCAGCAGTAAAGCAAAATTTTTTAAGTGAAGATATCTTGACAACTACCTTTCTAAAATTAATGAAGATTTTTATTCTAATCTATATATCTATATAATTAAAATAAAAAAATTATTAATTTGGATAGGAAGATATCTCGACAACCACCTATCTAAAATTAATAAAGTTTTCTTTTAATCCGACTCTATTTATCTGTACAAAAAAAAATATATATAAATTTTAGTTAGGAAGTTGTCGAAATATTTTCGCTCAAAGTTTTGAAAAAATTTTGCTGCAGCTTCTGCTAAGTTTTTTTTTAAAATTTTGAGCGAAAATATCTCGACAACCACCTATCTAAGATCGATTAAAATTTTTTTGATTCTGACTCTATATTCACATATAATTAAATAAAAAATTTATTAATTTCAAATTGGTGGTTGTCCAGATATATTCGCTTAAAGTTTAGAAAAATTTAAATAATTATCAAACCAGAAATAGCGGCAAGTTTTTTTCAAACTTTGAGCGAAGATATCTCGATAACCACCTATCTGAAATTAATAATTTTTTTTTATTTTAATTAGGTTGATATATAGAATTGGAATAAAAAAAATTTCATCGATTTTATATAAGTGGTTGTCAAGATATCTTCGCTCAAAGTTTAGACCAAATTTTATCAAAATAGAAGCTGCGGCAAGATTTTTTCAACCTTTGAGCGAAGATATCTCGACACCTACAGAAAGCAATATATATATATAAATATGAAGGGGGCTAGTTTTTATGCCCCCTACATTTATTAACCATACCCCTAACAAAACAAAACCTTTGAGCAACGATATCTCGATAACCACCTGATCAAATTCGATGAACTTTTTTTCTTTTAATTATATGAGTTTAGCCTAATTGAATAAAAAATATTTTATCGAGGTGGTTGTCGAGTTATCTTCGCTCAAAGTTTTAAAGAGTTATTTTGATAGGCGGTGTCACACCCAAAAGTCGATCCTCTAAGACTCTTAAGGGACGGGGCCGATATAGTACTAAGGCTATATCTACGGTGATGTGGAAGGTAAATGGTTAAGTATTTACTAGGACTTTAAGAAAGAGGATTTATGTAAGGCTTGATCGAAAGAGGCACAACTACTAATATATATGAGGATATATTAGGTTGTATTGTATGTTTTACTAACAATTCGGTTAACAATTGACGTCAAGTCACGTGGTTACGTGATAACGTTCAAAAGTATTTTATTAGAAAAATAATGAAATTTAACGTGTATTAAGATACGGTTACTTTATCTAACCGATAAAGTAACTAAATAATACAAAAGAGATAAGAAAATAACTATTTCTAAGAGTGAGAATTCTATACTAATGGAGTTCTAATGAAAGTAAGGGAAAAGCAAGGGCTTTTTATACATATTTTGGGGAAGTATTTCTCTAAGATTCTATTCTTTTGTTGGTTCTTTTCTGTTTTAAACTAATATATCTTTTAATTTCAACTTGCTTCTAAGCGAACCACTTGATTAGTTTTGCTAACGATTAAGAGACGCGATGTATTCTGCGCCTCCAACTTACGCATTATTTTGCAGATCATGCACCTTTAGACTGCGGCTTCTGGGAACTAAAGGGACCCTGATTTTTCTAATGTAACAATTTCCCCTCAACTAATGATGAGCTCCACGTGTCAATATTCTATAATAAGTTTTGGGTTGTAGTTAATAACTACCAAATATAAATGCACTATTGGCATCACCAGCATCAGCCGATAATACCACCCCAAATTTTGGCATATAAGGCCAGTGACCCATAGCAAATATTTTCAAAAGAGCGATTGCAGTAATTTTCTGCAATGCTTCTTGAATTTGCTAATTTGATGCATTCATATCAAATAGGTCTTTCGTAATATCGCTTAAGGAGGAGAGCATTCTGTGGTAAATCAAAAATCTGACCTTCTATCATACGTAATTGGTACATATCTTGTGCAACATGGTTATGTATGATGAAAGGTCCAAGCCACCGTGGTAAGAATTTTTCAGTTTGATGCCCTATTTGAGCGGCATCAAATAAAAGTACCTTATCTCCATTCTGAAAGATTCTTAGTACTTGTTTGAGCTTTTTGTTCCAGTAAAACTTTGCCTATTTTGGGCTTTTTTAACATTCGTTTTCACGACTTCTCTTTTAATAGGTAGGTCGTCAACGATTGTAGTTAATCGGTTGACTATATTTTCTTGGATGTTATTTTTTTTATGAAGTTCAGAAATCGGGCTTCTCTCCCGTATGTTAGATAAAAAGACGTGAATTTAGTTGTGGACTGCTTACTAGTCCTATAGGCATAGAGCACTAAAAGTATAAGAGCGTCTCATTCTTGCTCTTGCTTGATCAATTTTACCAGGGACTCACATAAGGTATGGTTGTACCTTTCGAACAACCCATTGGTCTGTGGGTGGTATGGCGTGGACAATAGATGCTTGATTTCAAAATTTCTTACTAAAAACCGAATTATTTTGTTATTAAAATATAGATCTCTGTCAGATATTAGATAAGATTGACATCTGTGTCTGCAAATGATTTCATCAAAGATGAATCGTGCAGTTTGTTGAGCATCAGCAGCAGGTACTGCTTTTGCTTCAGGCCATTTAGTCATATAATCAACTGCCACAATAATATATTTGTTCCCTTTTGTGGTTAGGTCCAAAGGTCCCACGAAATCAATACCAATTTTGTAGAAAGGCGCTTTGACAAGTATGGGTTGTAAGGGGCCACAGGTTCGATACTTTCTGTGCTTTGACATACATCACAGGTTTTGATATATTCTTTAAAGACCTGCTGCAAATTTTCTACATGTTCTTGGAACGTTTTGGAATAAATAACTATGTCATCTAAGTAAACGACTACAAATTTGTTAATGAATGCGTCGAGAATATTGTTCATTAATTTTTGGAAGGTTGAGGGTGCATTACATAAACCAAATGGCATTATGTTGAATGCATAAGTGCCAAACTTGGTTATAAAGGCTGTCTTTTTCTTGTCTTCTTCTCTAACAGCCACCTGCCAGTATCCACTGGCCAGTATCCACTGGCCAAGTCCAAGCTAGTAAACCACTTGGCTCCTTTGAATTCCGATAGGACTTCGTTGATATTTGGTAAGGGGTATATGTCCTTTTCAGTAACTATATTTAACTTACGGTAATCAATGCATATTCTTTTTTTTCCATTTTTTTTAGGTACTAAGACCACCGGAGAAGTCCAGGGGCTCTTAATCAGGAAAATGATGCCTTGTTTTTTTATGGCAAGAATTTCGTTCTTCAGAAATTCTTGTTCATCACAGGCTATGGTATATGGGTGCTGTTTTATTGGCTTAGCACTCCCTGTCTCTATTTTATGACACACTAGATTGGTCTGTTCTAGACCAACTGTTTGCCTATTTTTACTAATTTTCTCTGCAAAGACTTTCGCATTCTTTATCAACAAGTCTTCAGCTTGCTGTAATTATCTTTGATTGAGGTTTGGGTTTATCTTAAATGCCCTTGTATCCTTTTTTTATTGCTTGTGTTGTTGTTTCTGTCAAATAGACTTCCGGATTATCCTGTCTATGGGTTAT